CAAGAAGTGACGAGAGAGAATAATTGCAAACAGAGAGATATAGAGACAGATAATCGAGTCAAGCCTTAAGTAAAGTTCGTGAATCGTTGTGCATTCTAGCGTGTGTTTAAGTGAATGTTACTGTGGATATTAAGTGTATTGCAAAATTGTATTGAGAAAGAATAAACTAGTTTTATTTAAGAAAGGACTTGTATCGCTGAAGTTTTTTGTAAGGAATTTTTACGGGAAATTAACAAACGACCAGAGACGTAACATTTGGAAAGAAAACATTTTCTTGCCAACATTATTTTATTAAGAGTTTCAAATTTTCCTTAATTCTTAATCGAGACTTTATCATGACCCATTTTAAAAATATATATAAGGAATTGTATTTTTATGACTCTCTCATAAGCGGATTTGAGCTGTGAAAAATCCCTCTTCCAGAAAGAATAAATAATGGTGAGATATCAAAGTTATTAAAAACGAGCTTACAATTTGGGGAGAAGAAAACCCCCCGATTCTGTTGGTTTAAAACGAGTTTTAAGTGTAGCAGCCATTTGACACTTTAGAATCTATGGTTGTTTCTCATTCTCACTATTTCTGATTACTGGTTGCTAAGCCAACGGAATTTGACGCTTTCGCTTCTCCTCAAGTTCTAAGCTCGTTCTAGCTCTTCGAATAACTTTGCTATTTTACACACGCTACAGAATAAGTTTGTTCTAGCTCTTCGAATAACTTTGCTATTTTACACACGCTACAGAATATTATATCATATCTTGTGCTACCAGTTCTTTTAAATATAGATCTATGAATCTACTCTAACCAAATATGTAGATGTTTTCCAGTATAAGGAAGACACGAGTATATAGTAAATTTAGGTACAGTTGGTATCTTAATTGAATTTGTGAGTTTCTTTGTTACAACCGTAGATGTTTTGTTTTGAAGTATCTAATAACAATTATTTCATCACACTCAAGTAACTGTGATAATTATCAGTCTTGCGCATTTTGATTTTCGTTTTATTTTGCCAGTTACTTCGAAATAGTGGTCGTGTAAAACACTTAACAAGCACTTGTTTACTTCTAGGTTCTGTTCTTTCTATGTTACCAGCGTAATTTGTGGACTAGCCCACCAAACATGCTCGCCCTTTCAGCCGTGGGGCGTTATAATGTCACGGTCAATCCCACTATTCGTTGGTACAAGAGTAGTCCAAGAGTTGGCGGTGGGTGGTCATGACTAGCTGCTTTCCCTCTAGTCTCACACTGCTAAATTAGGAACGGCTAGCGCAGATAGCCCTCGTGTAGCTTTGCGCGCAATTCAAAACAAGCCTTTTGATTTATTACTGTAATTATGAATTTGTTCCAAGACTACTGAATCTAAAAAAGTACTGATGTGCGTAAAAAAATAATGTTTTCTTCGCCTCTTCAATTAACGCTGGAATAAATTAGAGCTGTGATATTGATTTAGTTTTCGCTTCTCCTATTAGAGCTGCCATATCCAAGCAGTGTTGCTTTGAAGCTTCAGCAATACACTATGATAATTATCTCATCACGCTCAAATTCGTTTTAGTTACGTGCTAAGGTCTTCGAACTGGCTGCTGCGTTAAATTAATAACGCCTGAGTAAAACTACGCTGCCAGCTGCAGATTGTAGGCTGAATTTCAAAACTTACGAACATTAGACACGTGGCAAGCAATCCCAGCTGTTAGCGTTTTACACTAACAAAAAATAGGATGAATTATGAGCACGTAGCTTTTACTCTTTGCTTTCGGGGAGAGTATCCTTAATAGCTCGTGGATAACTCTGAACTGAAGTTTGAAAGCTACATTACTGACCTAGCTGAATTGAAAGCTATACTGTTCAAAGTTGAACTTCTCAGCTGTGATAAAATGTCCTATATTGCAATTTACATAAATTTGGAGGTTGTAACAAAAGCTAAGTTTAGCTGAAGAACTGGACAACAACTGTTTAACTTTACATTTTCTGAACATAAAGAACCACAAGCAGATCGCAGTTTTCCTACTAATACTACTGTGGTCTATGAAAGTTAGTAAGTGTTGTTTTTTTCCTCTCCTTCTTTTGGTTTAGAAATGTGAACATTTGTTAACCAAAAATCAAAAAAATCATAAATGTATTAGTGTAGATATTAACCTATAGTGAGTTTTTATGACTGTGTTATCCATACGGTGTTATCACTATACGGCGTTAATCATACACGGTCAAGGTTCATTGACTCAAGCAAAACGGGCAACAAAAGCACAGACCTTTAAAGTGGCAGGGCTGCATCTGGCTACATGGTCTATTCTGTGTTGGGTGTTAAAGAGTAGAAACACCTAGAAATCTCTTTATTTTGGCCCAGGACGGAGTAAAAACTCCTAATGTAGTCTATCAAGAAGCAATCATAGTATCAACAAACACTGAGGCTGTAGTGAGGGCTTAGTAAAAGTGATAAAGTAACTGTAACACTATTTCTGTAAAATAGAATAACGTGGGTGTAAAATAAAATAGTTGTAAAGCAAATTATGTGTGAAATAAATTATGCATATAATACAAATACTTGATGTAATTTATATATATATATTAGTTCCAGCGCTACATTCAATCGGACGTAGGACTGGTGCCTCAACTTGTAAAACAAATTATCCTAAGTATGTTACATTTATTAGCTGCCCATGCTAGTGTCATAACTTTTGAAACAGGAATAATTACATAGTCACATCTCTTAAAATTTCGGCATCACATGACTGTGGTCATGAATTCGCGTTCATAATTTAAATACCATTATGGCGACTGTTTACAAATTGGAGATCAAACTAAACGTTCTCTACTTTAAAAACTAAATAGTGTAATTAGATACATGTAAAAAGAACCGTGCGATTTATGAAGTTCGAAGTCTGGCATGGCGGTTAGCGTGCTTGATTCGCAGTCTGAGGGTCACGGTTCGATCCCCGTCACACCAAACCTGCTCGCCCTTTCAGCCGTGAGGGTTATAATGTGACGGTCAATCCTACTAGTTGTTGGTAAATGGTGGTGGTGGGTGGTGTTGACTAGCTGCTTTCCCACTAGTTATCACTGTTAAATTAGGGATGACTAACGCAGATAGCCCTCGTGTACCTTTGTGCGAAATTAAAGTTTACTAAGTTCGAAGTTGAAATATCAATTTCTCAAATATTTTTATAATTGAAAATTAACTCAATCATATGGTATTTTTCTGAACAGCGGTTCTTGTGACTGAAGGAGTTGGATTCATAGCAAGCCATGTGATTACATTACTACTGGAGAAAGGTTATCGGGTTCGGGCAACTGTTACAAACTCACAAGAAGAAAGCCAACTTCGTACCTTGTGTTCCGAAAGCAAATCTATTCTGGAAGTTGTGGAAATAGGCCTATTTCAAGACCAAGGTTGGGATAGGTAAGTTTACTGTGGCTAAAAATTGCCTCAGTCTAGAAGTTGTGGAAGAAAACCAGTTTCGGGTAACAGGTTGTTTGAAATTAAATAAGTTATCATCTGTACTCTTAAGAATAAATGTTTGACCAATTCCTCGTTACCCGTAAAACTATTTCAATGATATAGAAGCATTACTTACTGTATCACTTTTATTCTAAGCGCCCTCTGTCGACGAACTGTACAAAGGATTATATATATAAAAAAAATAACATCCAAAATTAAAAGAGACGTATCTGTACTTGATTTTTGTTTTCCTTTTTGTAAAACAGATTAGAAATAACGAACTTTTTAAACGAGTTCTACTTAATGATGCGTTGGTAAAATGTTTTGGTATCGGATGTTTTTTTCAGTACACACTTAATGAGTTATTTATATCGCATGTTCCAACAACAACAACAGTTGTAAATTCCTCACTTCTAGACATCTAAGTTGAAATTAATGTTATGAAAGAAGTTAAACTATCATATGCTGTTTTTGCAGAACATAATTTGTTGTCATTTACAAAGTAGGTCATTATATGTATCTTCACAGTAAAGTATACCTTGTTTTTTTATATAAATAGCATTTCTCTCCAATATTACAGATTAAATTTTTGTTATGATGATATACATAATTTCTTTGAACATTTTGATTATTTTTTCGCTATTTGAAAATTTAAACCAAATTTATGCATATGGCACTGCCACTACCTTCTAATGAACATTTCTCAATTCAAAGCCTAAATATCCAAGAGTTATTTGTCAAGTAACTAGCTATGAATTGTAAGCTTTAGGGTATTATTAGCTTGTACTTTTCATCCACCAAAAGCGTTCGTGAACTTCAGATTACAACGTGCCAAGAACAGTATAACGATGTCAAAGAAGAAACATTAATGATCTAATAAGTTGTTTCTAAAGCAAGAGAAATGAATCAATTGAAGGAAGCAGAAAAAAACAAACAATGGAGGTGAAATATTGCATAGTCCATAAAGTTGACCAAAAAGCTCAGCTCAAACAAGAAGAAACTAAAGCTGTATTCTCAAGTTGTGATCAGGGTTTACTCAAGCTACATTCTCGAGTTGTGATCAGGGTTTACTAAAGTTATATTTTCGAGTTGTGATCAGGGTTTACGAAAGCTGTATTCTCGAGTTGTGATCAGGGTTTACTAAAGCTGTATTCTCGAGTTGTGATCAGGGTTTACTAAAGCTATATTCTCGAGTTGGGATAAGGGCTTACTAAAGTTATATTTTCGAGTTGTGATCAGAGTTTACGAAAGCTGTATTCTCAAGTTGTGATCAGGGTTTACTAAAGCTGTATTCTCGAGTTGTTTATCAGGGTTTACTCAAGCTATATTCTCGAGTTGTGATGAGGGGTTTACTAAAGTTATATTCTCTAGTTGTGATCAGGGTTTACTAAAGCTATATTCTCGAGTTGTGATAAGGGTTTAGGGCTCTTAAATCATCAAAACAAATAATTCTCGAAGGTTGATACTGTTATATTTATTTTATAATTTACTTACTTATTTTTTCATCGTAGTTGGCCCCCCAGTGGCACAGCGGTATGTCTGCGGACTTACAACGCTAGAAACCGGGTTTCGATACTCGTGGTGGGCAGAGCACAGATAGCCCTTGTGTAGCTTTGTGCATAAGTAAAAACAAACAAACAAACAATCATCGTAGTTGATATGTAACTATGATTCAAGTGCTAAGCCCAAACATATTTATCTACGGGGATAACTTCCATACATCATAAAGTATGAATATTCTACAACAAAACCTTTTAGTTTCATTTCAGAGACTATCAGGTAGTGTTATACAAAATGGATGTGACACTCGTGATTAATAGTATCAAGACAGCATAAAACGTGTTTTGTTAATCACGCTTCACATTTACAAAGCAATACCAGTGATATTTCAATTAATTTATTGTCCAAAAATGTTTTTTGCTGATGAGTTCAAAATTGATTTTAGTTTATTGACCACCAGAATATTTTGTATTCTTAGATATTGTTCGTTGTTGAAACTATACATACTATACCAAGTTTGTTTCATCGGCATTTCTGTGGCATTATTGATCGAAACTTACGTTGCTTATCGATGTATTTGATCTCAATGTGGATGGGGTTAATTTGAGATCACCCACGCGTTGTTTAAAAAAGCGTATAAAAGATCATCTGATATGTCTGCGAATTTCCAACGCTAGAAACTGGGTTAAGGTTCCATTTTCTCTGTGGTGACCAAAAGTGCCAGAGGACTTATCTGAACCAGAGATCAAGGTTCCATTTTCTCTGTGGTGACCAAAAGTGCCAGAGGACTTATCAAAACCAGAAAGCAAATTTTCATTTTCTCTATTGTGATCAAAAGTGCCAGAGGACTTATTTGAACCAGAAAGCAAGGTTTCATTTTCTCTATGGTGACCAAAAGTGCCAGAGAACTTACCTGAACCAGAAAGAAAGGTTCAATTTTCTTTATTGTGACTAAAAGTGCCAGAGGACTTATCTGAACCAGAGATCAAGGTTCCATTTTCTTTATTGTGACCAAAAGTGCCAGAAGACTTATCTGAACTAGAGATCAAGGTTCCATTTTTTTTATTGTGACCAAAAGTGCCAGAGGACTTATCTGAACCAGAAAGCAAGGTTCCCTAATGATATGAAGTGGAAATGAAGTAGAGTCTCTTGTCATTACACCTTGTTCATTCTTTCATGTTTGTTTGAAGTTAAGCACAAAGCTAAACAAGGGGCTCTATGTGCTCTGCCCACCAGGGGTATTGAAATCTCTGGGTCAGAGATGTTCTATGACACTTAAAAAAATTACTAAAGTTGGCACATATGACATTGATATAAAGCCATAAATGAAAAAACAAAAGACTGTAAAATTCGCAATGGACAAAGATTTAAAGGAAATATATATTAGGATAATGGACAAAGAGTTAAAGGAAACAGATATTAGGTTAATGGACAAAAGAAAATGTTTCATGGACTGGCACTTTCAAGACAGTTTTGAAGAATCTGTCCATTCAAATGAACAGCTGACAACCCTGAACAACACAGATGGTGTTACGTATCATAGGATTTTCACCGTCAGTTCAGAAAAGAGAAAATGTAGTTCGTTAGAGCGCGCCACGTGTTTATATTTATTCATTGTCCACAATTTATGTTTTAAACAACACTTTTGTTCGTATCCTAGATAAGCAGTTTACCGATTTGTTTTGGGCTGCTATATTTTTAATGTTCCTGGCATGGTACGGTTAAAAATGACCGAATGCTAAACATTGATGAAGGTATTTATCAGCCGGTTTTTTTACTCTCGGCTTGTCAGCAGCGGTTCAGGTTTTCCTAGCGGCTGATCGGGTTTCCTTCCTACTGCTGTGATGACAAATGTCTGTGAATTAGAAACGATCTTTGGTAAAATAAATTTTTCGACTAAAGGACTACTTTAAAGTCAAACGAGGCCCTTGTTCGTACCCATAATTTCACAGACGACAAGTAACTTATGGTTGTATGTTGCTTTGATGTGGATGGCTTTAGTTATCACCGACCACGTCAAGTGATCACTCTATTTTGCACATGTGCGTAAAGTCATATTATAATGTCCAGTCATTGTGATAGCCAAGATCGTAAATTTGCTGCTTAACCTATAGCGCCCAGCAGTACGGTGTAGGCCATAAAACGGAATTGGCAAACTACCCAGACTTGTAACATCATTAATTCATATTAGGTTGTAAACTAAGCTTAGAGGCTTTGAAAACTTTTGTATTGAATGCGCTTAAACGTAATGATCAACGAAGAACCACGCTACACTAACCATACTTTGTTTCTGTTTATTTTGTTGAATTTCGGAGAATATCCGCGGTGACCGTCCCTAATTTTGAAGTGATAGACTACAGAGGAGAAGCTAGTACTCCTAACCCACCCTGGTAGAGCTAGTACTCCTAACCCCACCCTGGATAGAGCTAGTACTCCTAGCCCCACCCTGATAGAGCTAGTACTCCTAACCCCACCCTGGTAGAGCTAGTACTCCTAACCCCACCCTGGTAGAGCTAGTACTCCTAGCCCCACCCTGATAGAGCTAGTACTCCTAACTCCACCCCGATAGAGCTAATACTTCTAACACCTCCATGATAGGGCCTATCCTCTCCATGATAGAGCTAGTACTGCAAACCCCTCCATAATAGAGTTAATACTTTTGACCTAGACACTTTGTCCTACATGCATATTGATCACACAATAACATGGCAATTCATTTACATACCTTGGCGATCGAATTATAGAGGTCTCTAAGGTGACAATAAAGTACTGTAACTAAATTGTTAGAAAACAAAACTAAACACAAAGAGTATCCCAAGATTTGGCGGTGTTAACTAGTTGTTATCAGTGAGGAGTATACCAGACTGAAATACACAATGTAACAGATAAACATGTTTGATAGATCTGGCTCTGTCTTGTGTTGTTGTTGTTTCATCTGTTCGTAGCCATGTGTTTGCATAGCAGTCTCTTACCAAAGAAGCATTTTCTTCAAAGACTATTGAAAGTAAGTGAACAGGCTGATAAAACAGTCTTATCTCTTCAGCTCCTGCCGTTGAAGATATATTCTGTTATGTGGGATTTCTATGGAAACAAAAACCGGAATGCATGTATCTGTAATGGTAAGAATGATGTTTATAAACCCCTCTGTTTAAGGATAACATATAACTTCAGCATTTCTGAAAGATGGACTTCTTTTATCACTCTTAATGAAAAACAAGCATGGTGCAGAACTCGCGACACATAAATATATCTGATTCTATACCATTGGGCTATACTTGAATAAATCTTAAGTGCACAAAAATCCTAAAAACAACTATGAAGATCGATCAGATTTGAAGTCACTGTAATCAGTACTTATGGTTGGCAATCAAACGCTGTTTCGTAGTTTGAAGTAGTTTGCCTGGAAAGTATGATGACGACTTGGAGTTCGATAATATGAGGCTTAGACCTCAACTTTACACAATTAACGTTGTACTTAATTCATCATGTAACACAATAATATTTCTTCATCTTCTCCGATGTGCAACGTCTATAAAATGTTTGGTTGAGACTATAGTATCAAATAGTGAGAGCTTAATAAGATAAGAAGAAAAAGTTAAAGTAGGAGGAAACACTGAGTATTAAGGTAACCCAATGGAATTCATGTAGCTTTGTAAAATGGCTGGGCGTGGCCTAAATGTTACTGTGTTGGATTGCAAATTGAAGGGTTCAGGGTTCGAGACGTGAAACCACTGAACACTTTTCGTTATAAAAGTCGTATTACTCTCGTTACTTGGTGCTAAAAGTCAGCCAAATCCTTAGCGGCGGAGAGAGATCTAGCTGCCTGTCTTCCTTCTGGTCAGTAGTTAAAAATTAGAAAGAACTATACCTAAATCCCTGACTTGATCTTTAGTTCACGTGCGCATCAGATGCTACTCGAATGAAAAATTGCAATTCCAAGTTGCTTAAAAATATTTCGAAACCAATTCATTATATGAAAATAATGAATGCTCGACTCTTCTTTCTCAGACGTGATAATTGTACAGCATACATCAGGATGTTTGTAATTCACACTACTTTAACCTTCTGTTTGGTCCGTTAAAAAATACATAACATGATTTAATTGAGGAAAACCGTTAGCATACTTCAAGCTAGTTGTAATTCGCACTACTTTAACCTTCTGTTTGGTCCGTTAAAAAATACATAGCATGATTTAATTGAAGAAAACTATTAGCATACTTCCAGCTAGTTGTTATTCGCACTACTTTAGCCTTCTGTTTGGTCTGTAAAAAATACGCAACATGATTTAATTGAGGAAAACCGTTAGCATACATCAATCTGGTTCTAATTTCCACTACTTTAACTTTCTGTATGGTCCGTTAAAAATACGCAACATGATTTAATTGAGGAAAACCGTTAGCATACATCAATTTGGTTCTAATTTGCACTACTTTAACCTTCTGTTTGGTCCGTTAAAAATACACGGCATGATTTAACTGAAGAAAACTATTAGCATACTTCCAGCTAGTTGTTATTCGCACTACTTTAGCCTTCTGTTTGGTCTGTAAAAAATACGCAACATGATTTAATTGAGGAAAACCTTCAAATAAGCAAACAGGGATATTCGCAAACACACACAAATATTCACAGATACATTCTACAAATTTCTTATCTAATTGTATTGAAGAAAACTGTATTTCACACCGAGATTTCACTTGTTTTTAATGAAGTATTATTATTAGAAGAACATCTAACAAAGCACCTTTAAAATTAAGTCCAATAAATTAAAAAATATTATTTAAGCTTAACATTTAATCACCTTAACATTAGTTGCAATTAACAATATCTTTTATTGTTGTTATTATTATCTAGAGCAGTAAAAGGTTGCAGGTACGTTATCCATGACGCATCCAACGTTCCTGGGTCTGCATCCCTCAACAACGATTCACCCAAGCTCAATGTGCAGTGTGTAAAACGGATTCTCCGGGCATGCGCAGACGATGGTGGTGTGAAAAGAGTCGTATTAACTAGCTCAATCAGTGCCGTTCACGGTAGGAAAACTGTTTGTGTTAATCCTTTGTGTTTTGTGTTCCATTAATCTCCGCATTTACTGAATTATATAGCCAGTAATCTCCGAGTCTACTGAATTATGTAGCCAGTAATCTCCGCGTCTACTGAATAATATAGCCAGTAATCTCCGTGTCTACTGAATTATATAGCCAGTAATCTCCGCATTTACTGAATTATATAGCCAATAATCTCCGAGTCTACTGAATAATATAGCCAGTAATCTCCGAGTCTACTGAATAATATAGCCAGTAATCTCCGAGTCTACTGAATTATATAGCCAGTAATCTCCGATTCTACTGAATAATATAGCCAGTAATCTCCGAGTCTACTGAATAATATAGCCAGTAATCTCCGAGTCTACTGAATTATATAGCCAGTAATCTCCGAGTCTACTGAATTATATATATTTTTTTCTGTTCTCGTCTGAGATTGTCATTGAAACAAAAATACAAATAAAAGTTTATGTGGTTCGTTGAATGATTTTTATAGTAAATGAGTTCCAGAATATCAAATTTTGAGTTAAAATGTTTCAATGAGCCATATGAAATGATATTTTGCGGACAAATCTCAGACACCAAAATATAATGAAACAAAAATCATTTTGAATAATGCGTTATTTATAAAGAAGAAATGATTTTATAAGAATACTATAGTCTACGTTTATTGATTTTTTAAAATAAGGTTTTGACTTTCTTCCAGCTATGCCAAACCTTACGACAGTGGCTGCAAACCTATAGAAACGTTTTGTTTCCATGCTATAATCCTAAATAAGCATCTAAGGATATTTTTTATTCAGAATATCACATTTCAACAAGCATCACGATGCCAATACTGCGACACGAGTTCATGAAATATGGGATTAAATGTTAAATACTTAGCCGAACCTTAAAGTAACTTTGTTAATTAACTCATTACAGATCATAGTTCCTCAGAATCAGCATTTATGGATGAAGAGAAGAAAAAAATATACAATGAATCAGACTGGAGCCACGTCGATTCACCGGGTCTCGACATTGGTGCCCAAACCATCACACTTGTAGAGAGGGCAGCATGGGATTTCATTAGAGAATTACCAGGTCAGATAAACTGTATTATGACTTGTGCAAGTTGTAAAATATCGTAATTTGAAAGGGGAAAATATTTATGACAATATATTTATTTTAGGATACTGAAAGGTGAATAACATTTTTTTTATTTAACTGAAACATTCTTTTTTTTTTCATTTTAAAAGTTTTCATAGAATTTAATCGTTTAAAAAAAGATTAAATCACAGCTGTGATAAGAATATGATGTAGTAACTAGAGATACGTCTACATTATAATATCTAACGTCAAACAATATGATGTAGTAACTAGATATACGTCTACATTATAATATCTAACGTCAAACAATATGATGTAGTAACTAGAGATACGTTTGCATTATAATATCTAACGTCAAACAATATGATGTAGTAACTAGAGATACGTCTACATTATAATATCTAACGTCAAACAATATGATGTAGTAACTAGATATATGTCTACATTATAATATCTAACGTCTTTCAAAACATTTTAGATCTTGTTCGTTCGCGAAACAGTACCAACAAAATGCGTTCATGGGTTGCAAGCAATAGCTCTCAAGAACCTTCATATGAACCTTTTTCTGATAAAAAAACATACACACTCCATATTCGTTGCATTTTCTTACGACAAATAAAACTAGCAAATAATTATAATGTGTCATTATAACAAAAAATACTAGCGTGTAAATACTGTGCATGTCTATAATGAAACATTGAAACGTATAATTGCATTAAGCCTTTTTAACAAAACGCCATAACTTATAATTCATGTAAGTTTCTATAATACAACACTCTAACGTATAATTAATTAGTGTATTTTTTCACAATACAACACTCTAACATATAATTAATTACTGTATTTTTTCACAATACAACACTCTAACATATAATTAATTACTGTATTTTTTGCAATACAACACTCTAACATATAATTAATTACTGTATTTTTTACAATACAACACTAACATATAATTAATTACTGTATTTTTTACAATACAACACTAACATATAATTAATTACTGTATTTTTTACAATACAACACTAACATATAATTAATTACTGTATTTTTTACAATACAACACTAACATATAATTAATTACTGTATTTTTTACAATACAACACTAACGTATAATTAATTGTTGTATTTTTTACCATACAACACTCTAATGAATAATTAATTGTTGTATTTTTGTACAATACAACACTCTAACGAATAATTAATTGTTGTATTTTTGTACAATACAACACTCTAACGAATAATTAATTACTGTATTTTTTTATGATACAACACTGTAGCGTATAATTAATTACTTCAAGTTTCTATAATAAAACAAATTAAAATATAATTATACCGGAAGTCCCGTTGCTAAAGCAATACGCTCTCTCTTTGTTTATTGACCCGGGTGTATATCGAACAATAAACTACACCCATTGAAGAAAGAAACGGAAAACCACCTCAGTTATTGTTTTACATGACAGAAACATGTGTACGCCTATCCTCGGTTTCGAGAGAACTTTTCTTTTTAACGTATAATTACTAAGGATGCACGGGTAGTAAAATTTGGCCGAATACCGGGTCTGGGTACCCGATCATTAAGCTTCGGCCAGGGCCGGGTGTCAACCGGGACCGGTTTCTCCCCTTGCCCCCTCCCAAAAAAACAACATACACACAAATTAGAAACAAAAACAAAATTTACGTTTATTACACTTAACCGAATAGTCACCAACAGAACATTCAAGTTTTACTTTCAACTTTCAATGCCTAGCCCCAACTTCTCAAACTCTAACCCCCATTGTTTTCAAAAACCCACCCTCCCCAGAAATCCACTTGTCAAGCCATGCCTGTTATTAACCCCTATTGTTCTCCGAATCCCCAACGTTCAGTGGGCCGTCAGTTTTTGTTGCTTGGAGCACGTTGTCTTTTTTTTTTTTTTTTAACTAAACCAATTATTGACTGTAATATTCAGTACCGTGTTAGTTGTCACAAAGATTCGGGCTTAGATGCCTAACTTCGACACGGAGCAGAGTATTATCGGGTAGCCCAATACCCGCCGGGGTCGAATATCTTGCCGAGTACCCGTGCATTCCTAATAATTACTATAGGTTTCCATAACGAAACACTTTAATATATATATATATATATACACAAAGGTCCTGTTTGAGGTATCTTTGAAGAGTCTCTTTGATATTCTTATATGGTTGCAAAGGTAACAGAAGTCTGGTTAAATAGCAAGAAATTATTTTGACAATTAAGTGAAAAATTAACATCCAAACCTCAACAACAAAAATCTACAACAACATCAGTTGAAGATTCTGGCGACAGATGACCAAAATCTACCTAGAAAATTACGTCCACTTCTGACATTCTCAAATATTAAATTTTGTGACGTATAGACTTCATATACTTACAAAAACGTGCTTAAGACACGTTTAACAAATTTAATAATGATGAAATGTTTGAAGTTTTGTTCGTTAAATTCAAATATGTATGTATAAATATCTGTTTTTTGTTTCTCTTTTTTTTTTCTAAACAGAGTGAAATTAAACCTAGGATAGTTTTCAGTTCTACAGAGGGTTGATTATATTATTTTGAAATCATTTTGAATATGCAAATCACGTAACAGCAACAGCCGATATAAATTCATGATATAACGACATTTCTCAGATCTACACTTGAAACTGTTTGGCGTTTCGTAGACAGTTTGAAGCCTCCAAAAATTGACCACTTTTCTTTGAAGAATATTTAACAGTCCTTTCCGACGCAAAATATTCATACACTTCGAGCATGAAAATGTGTTTAGACCGGATATTTAGAATTTCCAGAACAGTGATATCCCTTGTACTTAATGGTATTGGAAAACAAATGAATATTGAACAACTTGGGACACCAGGACCACCCGGAAAGAGGCCTGCGATAAGTCGCACCTCAATCATGGTAAGTAAAATGCGGCAACTTGTAACAGGTGAGAATTTACGAACACAAAGGTTAGTGGCAAAAGTCATCCACGTGTTCCACACAACACTACGCAAAATAACCAAGATGTAGCTCCGCCTGGAAACGAGAATAATATATAGTTACTTCAACTGGGTTCCGCGTCGTCATGAGGTATTCATGCTATGCTGTACGAAGACATACCGGTAAATTCACCAGATGCAGTTCTTAAGGATTTCTGTTGGAAAGAGAGCTGGGTAGCCATTATCCTCGTACACTAGGTGGCTTATGAAAAGCATGCAGGGTTAAAGGGTGTGCTTTGAACATGAAAGTCTTATGACGGAGTAATTTGCAGTGAAAAACTAGGATGCAAGGCTATTGTCAAGTTGCACGGTGATCATATACAGCGTGAATAGACGTATTGAGGCTCCACAATTGTTTTGCTACGACGTACTTAACCCTCTGTGTATAGGAGCATTACAGATCTTAACAAGCGCAAAACCCCAAACAGCAGGGTAACTAATGTGTTGTGCGTTAGAAGGGAATTTAAGGGGACGTAACGTCAAATACCTTTTAAAATTAAATTAGACACGAAAAACAGTTATTTTAAGACATTATTAAAATATCATAGTTTGCTGCACTTTTGCAATGAAAAATACCATTAAGATTATCTAATCTCTTTTTACACACAAATATATATATATATGTATATATAAATTTACTGTTTCAAGGCGATTAAACAGACGTTAGATAGTTTAATAGTACTTTTTTCTATTAAAGAATATTAAGAGTTTGTGAACTTTCCCCCCCCCCAAAAAAAATCAGTTTTCCACAGAAATGTAACAGCCATTTATCACTTTACACTAGCTGAAAAAAACTTATTTGATTTTAATTTTTTTAATATGATTTACAGAAAAGAAGAAGTTAGAACTTTCTGTTATCAACCCAGGTGTGGTTTTAGGTCCCTTGGTATGTGGCTTCCCCAGCAGGAGCTTAGAGGTAAGTAATTGTATTATTGTTTATTGATTTACTGGAAACTGAGCAAAAGGAAACTAATACAATGGTGCCCGGCATAGCCAGGTGGATAAGGCGCTCGACTCACAATCTGAG